CCTGCTGTGCCGTTCCCCTCTGTTCAGGTGGCTGTCGTCTGCTTTCTGGAACGCTTTTTGAACCTAAAACTTAGCGTGTCTGTCAACACATCTGTCATGTTACTTCCTGTCTCCTGGGACCACAAACTTAGCCCTACAAAGCTCATTTCTCTCCTGGCCTGTTTCTGCTGATGTCACTCTCTTCTGTGACCCAGGTCCAGAGCCTTTGTGTGTTCTGTGCTCCTCTCCCTCCGCATCAAACCAGTTAGAAGTCTTTGAAAGGTTTGTGGTAAATGAGAATTACAAAAAAACTATGCATGAATTAAAGAGTTCTTTGTACCACTGTAAACTTGAACTTTAACTCACTTTTCCACAAACCTTTTTAAAATTTTAATTTGCCAGAGGGCACTTGCCAGAGAGCACTTGCCAGAGAGAGAGCGAGCGAGAGCGAGCAAGCGAGAGCGAGCACCCCCTTGGGATCTTGGCTATGCCACAGTTGCTTCTCCATTTCTCCATCCTGTCAGGGTTTAGGGTATGTCCACACATACATACCCATTGTGTTTTTCAAGCCAGAGGGGCTGGGATTTGAACTGTGGTCGGCCATGTGGGATCTTGCTTGTTAACCACAGAGCCATGAAACTGGTCTTTACCAACTCTTTTAAAGTATGTTTATTTCTATGAGATACAACAAGAGAGAGACAGAGACAGCCCCCTCCCAAGGGCCTCAGTGCCACGGCCCAGCCCTGCCTCAGCCCCCTCCCAAGGGCCTAAGTGCCACGGCCCAGCCCTGCCTCAGCCCCCTCCCAAGGGCCTCAGTGCCACAGCCCAGCCCTGCCTCAGCCAGCCCACGTCAGGTTCCAGGTGCCAACTGGGAACCCTCCCATGTAAGTCAGCCTCGGAGCCGTCACGCAGCACACACTCAAGTGTGCGTGTTCACCAGCTATTGTAAACGGAACTCTGTCAGGTGCCATGTCTGTCTCCATTTTTCGGTCTCCGTGGTTATGCCCTGGTCTACGCTCTGGGCCAGTGCTGCCTAAGCTGCTGCAGCCAGTGCAGTTTTCTCGTTAGCTCTTCCTGTCTCAGCGGTGGCCGGAGTCATGGTGACAGGAGAAATGGAGACAGCTAGACTTGTAGCTCAGTCAGGTATATCCAACTTAAAAAACACATTGAGGGGCCAGCAGATGGTGTAATGGTTATATTGCTGGACTCCCACATGGTTGACCACGGTTCAAGTCCTAAACCCAGCAGCTTAAAACTCACCCTGGGTATGTGTGCATGAGTGCCCAGAATCCTGAGAGGAGAATGGAGGAGAAGGGACTGTGGCATGGCCAGCCCCCCATGGGGGGTGATTTTTCGCTGTCTCCCTCTCTTTCTGTCTTCCTGAGGATCACACACGCCCTGTACCAAAAAGCTCTCTCTAAAAAAAATAACACATTGATTCGTCAAAAGCAACTCTATTCTGAAAAGGTGAAATAACGCCCCCAAGTGTAAGTGATCTCTAACACATATCCCCGCCATGTTTACTCAGATGGCTCCTTTGCTTACTGACCTTACTAACTTGCATTCAGGACTGCTTTATGTTCCTGATTTATTGTTAGTTTTAGAAGAAGCCTTATTTTTCTGCTTACCTATATTCCAGTTTAGCAGGATACTGCTGACTCTCTGACAGCCCTAAGACTGCTACCCCGTACCCCACTCTTCCTGGGTCTTCTGTCTTCAAATCTCTGCCGGCGGGAAGCCTAGCTGCTTTCACGGTCGGTCTCAGGACGTTCCTTCTTTTGAATCCTGAGTGAGGAGTTCTGCTAGGATTGCTAATGAAATGGTTATAAATATAAAATTCGAATTTTGAAAAGTGGTTCATTTCATTTGAACTTCATCGTAAACTGGACTTTTTTCTCTTCTCCTTACAGCTTTCAAGTGTTCTTTGGGATAGAGAGAGATCAAGCTTTTATAGCCTGACAAGTTCAAACATCAGTAGATGGGAATTAGATGAGTCTTCGGAAAAGCAAGCACATAATTTGGATGTAAACAGAGTCTTGAAGGAACAGATTACCGATGCCATTTGGGTAAGGAGCAGTAACGCTTCCGTCTGTGACCGCGCTTACAGGCCGTGCCCGCAGCACTGGCTCCTGCAGTTACTCTGTTTATTTGAACACCTGTTATCGTAACAGGATAGTGTGTGGTCGTCAGATAAGTGGGACTGGAGTGTTACATCTCCAGGAGTATTGGAATGCAGCTGATTTACTTGCCTTTTTAACGTGTACATTACTTACTCGACAGCCGTCCGAGCTGTCATGGGTAAGGTAATTTCCTCGGTGCTGGGGAGATGAAAGTTGGAAAAGAAATGATTTCCTATACCCAGAGACCTGACGTTACTGATATTTTCACATAGGGTTCTGAAAGTAACTATGAAGCTATTAAAGAAGGGGTCAATATTCGATATTTGGACTTGAAGCAAAACTGGTGAGCAATTAATCTGTCATAAAGAGCACATAAAGGGGGGAAATAAGCTGATGTTTATTTTTTTTCATTTATTTTTTGCCATAGAGCAGAGGGGTTGGGGGGAGTGAGATATCACCCCCAGTGGGGATCGCCATGCCACAGTCTCTCTGGGGGACATGCACACACACCTGGTATGATTCTCAAGCTGCCAGGTCTGGGACTCAGACCGTGCTCAGCCATGTGGGGTTCCAGCACCTTGACCACCATGCCACCTGCTGGCCCTGCCGGTTCCGATGCCAGTCTCCTCCTGTCTGTTAGGCCTGCCTTTATGCTCTTGCCGTTCTCTGTCTAGTGACGTGAATTCATCTGGGAAATTGAGGCGGCCCCCGCCGTGGACGGCAGCCCCTGGCCGTGCTGCCTCCCTAGTTAGGCAATGTATCTGCCCTCGTAGCTGGAGCGTCTTTTCTTCACTGCCAAGAGGGCCTGGAGCCCTGGCCTCTGCCACTGCGTCTTGTGCCCGGTGCTTGCCTTTTGTCTTCTCACTGGAGACGGCAGAGGGCGCCTGCACTTGTCTCATACCCCACCCCTCTCTCACACTGCCCATCTTACACACCCCCGTCTCACAGCCCCCTTGTCTCGCACCCCCATCTCACAGCCCCCCCCCGTTTCACTCCGCCCTTCTGTTGCTGAAGGAGCCCTCATACCCTCCGTCAGTGGCCAATTCGAGAGTGAATTTTGCACTGCTTTTAATGGGACCGACGTTGCTGGACTCTCACATGGCTGACCACGATTTGAGTCCTGGACCCTGAGACTTAAAACTCACACCAGGGGATCAGTAATTGGCATAATGGCTATGTTGGTGGGCTCCCATGTTGCGGTTCAAGTCCCGGACGTGGTGGCTTAAATTCACGCCAGGTTCATCTGTGTGCATGCCCAAGATCTCAGGTGGAGAATGGAGGAGAAGGGATTGCAACATGGCCATCCCCTCTCAGGGGTGATTTCTCACTTTCTATCTCTCTGTCTCTGACTTTCTGGCCAGCCCACATACTCTATAGCAAAAACCTCTCCAAAAAAGAGAAAAAGAAAACTCACACCAAGTGCATGTGTGTGCGTGCCTAAAATCCCAAGAAGAGAATAGAGGGGAAGGGATTTTTGATGGCCACCCCTCCCCAGGGAGTGATTTCTTGCTTTCTGTCTCTGTCTCTCTCTGCCTCTCCTGCAAGCACATCGGCCTCTAACAAAAATCTTTCTAAAAAAAAAAAAAGAAAAGAAACCTTATGAATCTGAATATACCTTCAGTAATCCTTCAAAACATAACTTGCCAGAAAGATTTATCAAAGGCTTTTTTTATGTGTTCAGGAGTACTTCTTGCTGTGTTCTTGTTACTTTGGTTTCGTAGCTCGTTTTCTGTCTGTCCTTGGAGGGATACTGCAGCTGTGCTTTGATTGTTCTCTCAGTTGTCGAGGTTCTTTTGTAGTCTCTGAAAACCTTATAACAGCTATCAAAGAGTAGTAATAGTATTTACTTAACTTCTGTAAGCATTTCAATTAAATATAGTTTACCTGTTTTCGTGTCTTTACCAGATTTGGGAAGTTTAGGACGCTGCTAGGACCTTGCCCACTCTGGGCCCAAGCGTGGCTTTCACATAGTGCTTTCAGAATGGGAAGCTTCAAGCGGCCCTCAGCTCCTCTTCTCCAGGTTGTGAGGCCACCGAGACTCCTCACTCCTCTGTCTCGTCCTCCTTGCCCACATTCGCCCTCAGCAGTCCACGACTCACTCCTCTGTCCCCACGGTGGCCCAGCCTTCAGAACGAGTGTTCCCACCACGTTGGCTGTCTTCTGTTTCGCAGTAGTGCTCGTCTCCTTCACTGTCATGGACACCCAGGTTCCTTGTCCATTCTGGCCGGAGTGACAGCCTAGCCTTCCATAGCTGGTTCCCTGGCCGGGTTACCACTGGTGTGGAGCTCAGACTCCGTTATTTAGGATGCGAAGTAGCCCTCCAACACAGCTGTATTTATAGAAGCCAGCCTGGGCGTGATGGGCTGCTGGCCGTACCTTGCTAATCCCTGTATTAGATGATTTGTTCATCTCTGGGGCCGGCAGGTGGCGTGGTGGTTGAGACACTGGGCTTCCATATGGCTGACCACTGTGCGAGTCCTGGACCTGGCTGCTTGCTTTCTCATTCACTCATTCTCTGTGTGTCTCACCCTAGTCAAACTGAATAATAGTAGAATAATAATGAAAAAGAAAAGAAAAGAATTCTTTAAAAAAAAAAAAAAAAGAAAAAAAAAAAAAAAAAAATTTTTTAAAAAAAAAAAAAAAAAAAACCGGAGTGTCGGGGCCAGCAGGTGGCATGGTGGTTAAGGCATTGGACTCCTACATGGCTCACTGTGGTTTGAGTCCTGGATCTGGTGACTTGCTTTCTCACCTTCCCTTTCTCTCTCTCTCTCTTTCTCTGGTCAAATTTTTAAAAAGATGATTGTTCATCTTTTTATTATTGTTTGGCTAAGTCAGGCTTATTGAGCTACAATTTACAGTAAAGTTCACTCTATTTTGTGTAGCATTCTGTAGTTTTGTCCATGCCTACGGTCCTTAACTGCGACCATCAACAAGATTCAGAAGTGTTTTATCACCCCCCCAGATTCATTTGTTCCTCTTAGTAATCAGCACCTTTCTCCATCAGTCCTGGAAGCCACTGATCACTTTTCCATTCCTATAGCTTTGCCCTTTTCAAAATGCCGTAGAAATCATACACTATCTAGCCTTCTGAATCTGGCTTCTCTCACAGATGCATTTGAAATTCATTAGTAAGTTTTTCCTTTCAACTTTTCCCATTTCTGTTCAAAATTGGAGGACATTGGGTTGTTTCGGTTTTATGCAATTATGAATAAAGCCCCTATAAACACGTGTACATAGGTCTTTGTGTGAGCATAAGTGGGCATTTCCCTCTTAGATCAGTATTGAGGAATGGTGTGCTAGGTTGTGGTAGGTGTGTGCGTAACTTTATAAGAAACTGCCTGTTTCCAAAGAGGCTTGACCTTCCCTTCTCTCTGTTAGTGACGGGCTCCTGGTTTTGGCAGCAGCGTGGCACCCTGCAGACAGTCCCTGTCTTGTCTACTACTCCCTGGTAACAGTGGAAGGGAGCGGCCACCCACTGTCAGATGCAGTTACTGTAGAAGTCACTCAGTATAACCCACCTTTTCAGGTAAGCTTTGTCTGTAACTGAAACCATGAGGTGGCAGTAATACAGCGAGGTGTTTTCTAACCACTGTGGGGCCAGATTCTTTGAGGGAGTCATCTGCAGGCCTGGAACTATTTTAGAATAGCTTGTTTTTAGACATAGCTGCTTTTCCTTTGCTACCTCAGACTTGTTCCTTCACTCTGCTTCCCTAAAGAGAGACGAGAGTGGAAGCCATGTGGGAGTCCAGTGCCCTAACCACTGCCACCTGCCAGCCCCAGATGTTTATTCTTGGTATGTGAGGCTAGTAGGTGGTGTGGTGGTTAAAGGTGCTGGACTCCCACCTGGCTGACCATGGTTCAAGTCCCAAACCTGGTGGCTTGCAGTCTCACTTTCTCTCTCTCTCGCTCTAGTCAAATTAAAAATAACAATAATAATAAAAGAAAATACTTCTTTTAACAGGTATTTATTCTTGATATGACTCATTTAACTGAATCCTATAAGAAAAAAGTCATTTAATTTTTTATTTCTGTTTGAAATAAATTTTATCATGTATTCTCTCTATACAAGAAAAGCATGCTCAGAGTTAAAAAAGAAGTCAGACAGTACAAAAGGCTAATGAAAACAACTTAAGAACAAGAAAATTTTCAGCATTTCAGTTTAGTTTTGTTTGTAAAATTACTTCTTTAATAGCAGTTTATGATCTTTAGCATTTGCTGATTTTATCAGGCCATTAGGTCTTATTTCTATTTCTGCCTCTTATTTTATATATGAACAAATCAGCTGAGCTTTTTCATGATTGATTTTGACAGTAAAATAAGAGCGACGATGTTGTTTTCTCAGAATCATTTATAAAAAATTGCTTGTTTTTAAATCAATAATATAATGAATTAATTTGCTATAGACTTCTAGTTATAATCCTTTTTTTTTTTAAGAATTATTTTATTTAACTTTATTTATTTAAATTTGACCTTAGAGGGACAGAGTGAGAAAGAGAGAGAGGTAAAGTGGGAAAGCAAGCCTCCAGGTTTAGGACTTGAACTGTGATCGGCCACGTGGGAATCCTGTGCCCTTAACCACCACGCCACCTGCCGGCCCCTATTTCTAATTATAATCTTATCACCATGGAATTATTTTCGAACTTTGCTAATTATCTGCAACTCAACAAATAATTTATACAATAAATGTTATCAGCTTATCTGTCATATTTTATAAATCACCTCATGGGTGATTTTATTGTTTTTATGAGCTAATGTATGAAAATGAATTGTAAAATTATCCAGATCCTTTTGTTTTGATTCTCATTAATATAATCTTAAATCTGACTTTCAGTCTGAAGATCTGATTCTGTGTCGATTGATGGTCCCAAACTTTTCAAACCAGGCTGCTTACCTGTATACCGAGAGTGCTGTCTATGTGTGCTCCCCAGGGACTGGGAGGTTTTCTCTTCCTCAGGAGAAAATCGTCTTCAACACACAAGGTGAGGAGGCCGTCTTAGGAGCCGGGGCTAGTGAGCATCCCTTCACTCCGGGTAGTTTCGTTCTCTGTCCACAAGTGCTGCCTCTGAGCGTTACTGTGACCTCTGACCTGCGACAGCCGGTGCCACCACCCCACTGGGAACCTGGGGAGTGCTGACTCCCCCGCTGCTACACGGAGGGGCAAGAAAGACCTGGTGCTCAGAGAAGGAGTTGGTCTTTCCTAGTTAGTCAGAGTGACCCGTCCCGAGCTCATGCTCTTTCCGAGTCTGTCCACACCTCTGGGTGAGCAGAGTCCTAGGGTTGGACTCAATTGGGGGCTGGCCCTGAGTGAGAAGGGGCCAGGCAGTATCTCTGAAGGGAGTGGGGTGGGCAGGGGACAGTCCAGGCAAGGCATCAAAGGAGTCAGGCAGGTTTTCTGGTCCTCACATGAGAACCTCAAGAAAGGAAGGGTGGCCAACCTGGCCAGTAAAGGCAGAACTGGGCGAGCAGACCCCACGGCCTTGAGAAGGCTGATCCTCTGCATTTTGTAACATGAGTGATTTTCCTTTTTTCGACTTTTAGCACTCTCTTGCAAGGCTAGTGTTTTTTTGTTGTTGTTGTTTTTTTTAGTTTACTTTATTAGTAGTATTGTTTTTAATTTGTATAGGGTACATATGCTCACCAGAGAGAGAAAGCTGCCAGGTCCAGTACTCCAACAGTGGTTGGCTATGTGGGAGTCCAGTACCTCAACCATCACATCACCTGTTTTTTTAATTCACCAGAGGGAGACAGAAAAAGAGACAGAGAGAGAAAGCAAGCAAGCCACCAGATCCAGGACTCAAATCAGGGTCGCCCACGTGGGAGTTCAGCGCCCTAACCACTACTCCACGTGCTAGCCCAACAAGGCTAGTTTTAATCGTCCTTAAAGCTGTGGCTGCAAAACCTGCTTGTTCAGATAGCAGTGGGTTCTTGACATTTCAGTCAGGGATTAAAAAGTTGAGTTCAAAATAGGAGTAATACTGTGGAGACAAGAAGCACGTTCTTTATATATATTGTCAAGGCGGTTTTCCTCTGAGAGTGGGAGATCGTTTACAAGTTTTTTCGTTGTGTGTTTGAATGTGTATTTTCTTCTTTTTAGGGGATAGTATTTTAGGCGCTGGTTCCTGTGGCGGCGTTCCTATCTTTTTTTCTAGAAACAGTGGACTAGTGTCCATTACTTCGAGAGAAAATGTCTCCCTATTAGCAGAAGACCTGGAAGAGTCCTTGGCGTCTTCAGTTGCTGGACCAAGCAATGAGGTTATATGGTTCCATAGATTTTCATTTTTATTTTTGTTAGTATATTTCACACAGATGTTTTTAAAAGTCTATTTTAAAAGATTTATAATGAAAATAGTTCTTTATCTCCCTTGTCTCCTTTGCCTTCTCCCAGAAGCACTACTTTCAAATTTTTTGCTGTTTTTTCTCGAGTGTTTTTTAAGTGCCAGAGGGTGCAAGTATTCACCAGGGAGAGACAGAGACAGAGACAGACAGCCCCTCGCAGGGATGTGGCCACACCGCAGTCTCTTCTCCATTTCTCCATCCTGTCAGGGCTTGGGGCACACGTGCACACGTGCCCAGTGTGCTGTTTTCAACCAGTGATTTCATTTCCCTTTATTAAGCCACTGTTTCACCCTCTCCACTAGCTCAGTAAAATGCCTCTCAGCAGAGCTTTTCCGTAGTCACATCTCAGGGCACGTCACACGTGCAGCCCTGTCATCCTGAGCTTCCCTTTCCACTGTCCTCCAGTCCCCATAGCCCCTGGTCCTGCACCGCACCCAGAGTGTGGCCGCACGTCCACTCCGCACCCACGTGTCCCCACGGCCTCTCCACACCCACGTGTCCCCACGTCCTCCCCACACCCAAGTGCCCCCACGTCCTCCCCCCACCCACGTGCC